GTGGACATGCCTTCGTGCATACGGATAGATGGCCAGCTGCTAAAGGCCATCCAGTCATTGTCTTCTGATGGCAGGTGCTGCGTCAGGGCTAATTGCGTTAAGTCGAAACCATTCAACGTTCGCACTGTCTTCGCCAAGGCTGCGTCCTGTGCCTGATCCTGTTTGTATTGTTCATGAATAGGATAGTCAGGAGCTGCCAAGGCGATGAGGGTATCGGTGTAGGAGATGTGTAGTCGAGAAGGTTGCTGTTTGCAGACGACCTCGATTTATTCGCATCTTCTGAAATTGATCTCCAGTGCTCCTTAGAAAGGTTCGCAGCCGAGTGCGACGTGACTGGCATGCGTGTGATCGCATCTAAAACGGAAAACCTAGTGCTTTCTCGTTCTCCTGCCCGTTGCTCTCTTCAGATTAACGGAGAGGCAGTGGAGCAGGTTGGAGAAGTTCAAGTACTTCGGAATTGCATTTACTAGTGATAAAAAATTGGAGGAAGAGATTGACCGGCGAATTGGAGTAGCCGGTGGCCCGACCCATTGTGAGCGAAGCAGAGCTCAGTCTGAAAACTAAGCTCTCGATATTCAAGTTGATCTTTACCCCTATTCTTACCCACGGTCATGAATCGTGCACCATCACTGAAAAACCTCGAACCCGGGTACAAGCTGTTGAAATGGGCTTTCTTAGACGAGTCGCTGGCCTTACTCGTCTCGACATGGCTCAGAATAGTGACATCCGGAAGAGCCTTGGAATACAGCCTTTGCTTCTCCAGATTGAGAAGTCACTGCTGCGATGGCTTGGGCATGTGTTGCGAATGCGTTCAGAAAGGAAGGCTAGGCACTTGTTCTTTTCAAATCCGACCGGTAGAAGGCCCATGGGACGACCAAGATTAGCCTGGTGCAAATATATGGAAGGAGTCTGCTCCAGACACCATTGTCTTTTGCCGACTCTCAGACTCTAGTACGGGATCAGTAATATTTGAAGCCCTCTCTGACGTATCTGCCTCTGCGACCCAAAAGGAGAAGCGGCGATGGAAGGTAAAGATGATTATTCGATCCATGGACAACACACAGGAGAGGGGGCAGAAAGCAGCTTTCGCCTAGACTTAGCGCCATTTTCTCTGACACCGTACCTCCTACTAGCATATAGTGATTGGTTGGTCAGTAGCAACTAGCCATCGATCCTATTTGTTCTCAGGCTTGTCCGTAGACTATTGCGCGGGATCAAGTCATAGGCATTCTCTAAGTCAGCAAAGCAAATGTGCACCGGATGGGCGAACTCATACGATTTCTCAACAATTTGGCGGCCTGGCAAAATACGGTGTTTCGACAGCTACGGAAGCAACATTGGACTTTTTGTGTCTTGGAGTCAGTTATTCCGCGGCACCTCCTTTCTAGAATCTTTGGGTAGACTTTACCTCGGAGGCTCAGTAACGTAATTCCCGTATAATTGGAGCATTCCTTGTGGTCCTCCTTCTTGAATACGGGTGCAATGACTCCCATTCTCCAGTCCGCTGGTGTCTTTCCCGTAGTCATCGCAGTTTCACAGACACGTGTAAGCCAGCGCATGCATAGTTCGCCTAATGCCTTGGGCATTTCAATTCGGATTTCAACAATTCCTGCAGCCTTTCCATTTTTCAACCTTTCACAGCTTGTGTAATTTCATCTACAGAAATAGTAATACCCGTTCCGTGCTGCTCTACAAGTGAGTCTCCCTTCGCTTGCGCTGCTTAAGGAGTTCCCCAAAGTACTTCCTCAATCGCTGAAGAAGGTTATCATCCTTGGAAAGTCGATGTCCAGACCTGTCCTTCGAGATTCTGAGACTGCCCTTCTTTTCTTCTCTGAACCGGTGGATGCCTGCCAGAATACCTTGCTTGCCGTGTGGAAAATCGATTCCAACACTTCACCTAACTTCTCCTAAGAATCAGCTTTGGCTTTCGCCACTGCTTTCGCTGCCGCCTTGCGTGCCTCGACATATCGCACGCGAGTAGAAGGCTCTTGTTTTCAAACTACTTCTTGAAAGCTACTTTCTTCTCTTTAACTACCACTTGTACCTCTCGTATCCACCAGGAGTATCTTTTCTGATCTCCAGGCGGGAGGCCAACCCGTTTAAATCGGTAGCATTCGGCGGCAGCCTCGAGTATGCCATCTTAAAGGGCTGACACTCGGTTTCCACATCAGTGGTCATTACCGGGATCTGTTCAGACCATCGTGCGATGTTGTTTGCAAATTTTATTCCCGTGTCCACCGTAGATAATGCTTTCCATTTGATTCTCTGGTTGCTTCTGCTAACGGATGTTCGTATTGCACTCCATTTGTTACAGCGCAGTGCTATCAAGAAAGTGGTGATTGTTGATAGCTCTGCGCCTCTGTCGACCTGCATCCGTTACGGAGCGTTTTATGTCAGACGATACGATTATCAAATCGATCGTCGACTTCTGTGCACAGGCTTTCCGGTACCATGTGTATTAATGTACTCTTCGATGCTCGAAGAAGAGCATAATAGACAATCCGTTTTTTGCCTTAAATCGGAATACCTTCAAGCTGTCGTTGTTCAGGTCGCTAATGCAGTTCTTTCCAATCGCCCTTTCCATTTTTCAGCGTCTACTCCGACATGCGCATTTAAATCGCCCATGAGTACGAGTGACTCCACATTCGGCACTTCATACAGAGCACACTTCACTTCCTCAAGGAAGGAGTCATATTTTCCTTCGAAATTTGGCGCATTGACCTGTAACAAAGCCACCGTTTTATCTGGATTTAACTTCGGTCGGATGATTGCCACTTTTTTGCTGACAGGCTTCGATTGAATGATTCTGTCAGCCAGATGAGGTTCTACCAAAGCACCAACACCGGCTTCAGGCCTGTCGTATTATCGACACCTGCGTAGAATAACTGCCACTCGCAGAGGCTCAGGATTCCATAGCCTTGGCGCTTCATTGACGAATGGTCGAGTTTGCAACTTACGGTTTCATCAGCTAACTTTTGCTCTTTCCCTCTGAGTGAGGAAATATTTAATTTCCGACTGTAAGCGCCCACTGGCGGTGTCGCTTTGGTGGAGGCTTTTCAGACGTGTTGCAGCGGCATCACGCTGTCTGCCTTTTCTTTTCATAGCGGGTAGCGACTCCGTTGCTGACTGTCGTTCTGTCGATGTTCGTTCGTTGCGCTGTCACGCCCCTGGCTATCAGAAGGCGATGAGCAGGTTCTGTTCGCTAACCATTCGCAGCGTGCCTCAGTCGTCCAACAGCCTGCGCACCCGAGCGACGACCGAGCCCGTATAAAGATCGATGACGGTGGCACCGCAATGGTCAGGTGGCTACGTTTAATTGAGACTTCATCATAGTCTCCAACCCGTTTCCTTTCTCATCCGGGACTTGGACCGGCAACATCTAGGGCGAACTTTTGAAATTTCTGGTAATTCTGTCTAATACTTACGCTTAAGAGCTGCAACTGTAACTTCACTAACTGATAGTGAACTTAAATCTAACATAACCACAAATTGATCTTGGAAATATACCCCTGCAGGACTGACTTTAGACTTGTACTGACAGCTTTACAGTTGATTTCTTGTCGCTATTTCTTCTGTCTCTGTATGTTTCAGACTAACGCGCATTTTGTTTTGATTTGTTGATCGAGCTGGTAAGATTTCCTGTCTTATCAAAAGCCAAATGTATCTTGTGGTGATCATAGCGACAGTAAATCTATCGCGAAATAGTGTTATTTTGATCTGAAGAACATCTCATCATCCTTGGTTGATATTTTTTGCCTTCCGTGTCAAACCTTTTCAAAGGCAAAAGGATTTGCTTTCTGATTTGCCGGCTGAACTTCGGTAATTGATTTAGTTACTTAGTTACGAAGTCATTGAATTCCGTATAAAGTGATTTGCAGGTTGTTTTAGTCAGCCTACGGTAGTACGTGAGTCATCGTGCAAATACGTCTTGCTGACATCAACCGTTGTCAGAAGGTAAATTTGGAGCCGGATTTTCGATTGTTTTACGATATGTTTTGTGTACCAGTATTGAATTTAGACTATGGCCCTTAATATCTCACCGAATTCGGTGGCACGCTGCGGTTGGATTGAGCGTCAGTGTAAGTAACTAGCCAGTTGTAAACAGCAAAATGAACAAAGATCTTTTGAAAGGAAACGGTATCAGTAAATCCAATAAAATGTATCCCTCTGTGTTTCCGTTGGGTTTTGGAAAGAGTTTGAAAGTTGCTGCTGTAAATAAGAACTTTCCGTTTGATGTTTGGTCCTTTAATTTCCGTCATTTGTTGATAAACTGCTTTAAGTTTTCATTACGTCAGCAGTTATCGTTATTTATAGATAAATCGGATCTGTTGCCTATTTTCCATGTTTTTCCAGACAAGAATTTCAACAGGTGATAACTTTAAACCTTATTGAATGATTTTAATACTTGTGAACAAGGATGCAACAGTATTAGGCATTGATTAGATTTCCTTAGATTCAGTTTCGACTGCCTGCCCGGGTTCGCTGATCACTGCTTTTTCGTTCTGTCCTGTTTTGTAGGCACTTCCAGTAAGATCGTTTATTTCAGGTATTACAGGTACTTCAGAATGACATCCCTCGAGTTCTGCGAGCGCGTACTGGAGATTGGCAGCGGCTTCGTGATCGACCGTTACCTGCGCCAAGCATTTGCAAGGATGGATGGATGGAATAGGAGAGCAAAAGATGGAACAAGAGTAAAACACATGTAACAAGAGAGTAAAACGATGATTGTTGTGGATTTGGAGAGACAGCTGCCGATGATCTAAGACCATATAATTTAAGGCTTAAACTTTTGGCACGTATTGAGTTTACTCAGTGAAGCTGGCTGTAAAAAGGTTTATTTGCGGAAATTGTTAAATCGGAGAGCGCGCGGTGAACATACAGTTCAATAAATATTATTAACTGGTAGTTAGTGAGTAAGTACGTAATTGTTCTTTGCGTCATCGACAGCTTAGCTTTAAGAGAATCATTGATAGTTATAGAAAAAGTTATGAGCGATGCCATAGCTGACCTGTTGAATAACAGTGATAGAGTATAAAAGAAACGAATTGTATTTTTAGTGTTCGGTCCTTCACTAGCGTTCTGAATTCATCACCTGTTCTGTTCTGAATGTTGACCGGACCTTCAAACCGAAATGAGATGTGTTCTTGCTTCACAGTTGAGGGTACTTCGCTTCATTTCTGCAGGAAATGCCGAACGCCGATGTATAAATGAGTTAATTCGGTTTGTAATATCGAGTGAAGCCAGCAGAAGCGGAAGATTTTACTTCGATCTTATGTAACCACGCGATAACCAAGTTCGAGTCAGCGTGAAATTCCCGGATTTCAAGTGTTGCGTAGCGCTCGACTATTGAGCTGAAGGTCCGATTTGCGTATTCCACTGCCTTATTGCATTGATTGAACGCTGTGGGTGCACTTTTATTGACTTATGGAATCTGAAAGCATCGAAGCCGTTTCTAAAACCCCGTAATTATTTTCACGAAAACTGATTTTTCAGTGGAAAGATCGTTACGCAGTCAGCATTCCTGCTAGACAAAGAAGCTACTTTTGGCTAGCAGATACTTTACTAGGCGAACATTGCGTTTGATAAAATCCTTTAATATTATGGTAACAACAGATGATTTAAAATGATATTCAAACTGGAAAGTAGGCGTCGAGTGCAGCGCTTGGCCAGGCTTACACACTCGTAACGGCATCGACAACACGAATGACATCGACAGGCTTCTGTTAAGCTATCGTATGACAGACAGTTTAAACGTTGGGAGGGGGTAGGCGAGACCCTTCTCCTCAAAAGCGTATTCACTAAATCATCTAGACATTTCCTACTGGAAGCCTGAACATCCAGATGGACAACGTCCTCAGCCGCAAATTGCGCAGCTTGATACTCGAGAATCGCGTCGAGCATGGGGCCTGCATTGAGTCTGATGACAATATGCGTAGCGAAACTTTGTCTGAACTTGCCGTTTTGCACTTTCGCCGCCTGGTTGAAACACATCAGCTGCTCGTTCATGACATGCTAAAATACGATCAAGAAGCCTACCAAAACGAGGTAAATAGATAGTTGAATGCCACTCCCAGTGCCCCGTCGGGAAATGGTAACGCCGAAGAGTTAAACATTAACATTTTTAAACAGGGATAGTTTCTTACGTTGATAATGAAGAAATACCTCATTGTCAGCTTTTACGTAGCTTCTCCCGCCACGTGATATGATAACATCGACCAGTCGTGAGCTGTTTTGGGTTCATTGTAGGCAGCTATCGATTCAGTGTAACCAGGCTGACTTCTGAGGAAAGGTCGTAACATGTTCGGCAGTCGTTTCTCCTATGAAGGAAGCCGTTTCTCTTTCTTAAAGGAGAACCTGCCTGAATTCAGCGAAGCAAAAGGGGTTTTGATTTAGTGCCTGATATTTCCTTTCGCACCAGGCTTTTGTGTGTTTTGAAAATATGAAAAATTAGGAGAGTTTCTCTTTTTCAGTCTTGGTCATAGTTACATTCCTTGGTATGATGACACTGATGCTTAATTTAAAAATTTTTCATTGTTTTATGAGTTCATAATCGCCTTTGTTTTCAAAGGGTTCAGCGAAGACTCGCAACTTTCATCACAGTTAGACAATTTGTCGATGTAATCCAAGTTACGTCCTAAGGGAAATGCGATCTATGCTGTGCATAAGCTGATTGGTTTGGTCTCATTGTTCGTATGTCTTTTAGCTACGGTGTTACATCGTTGGAAGAAGAGCTGGCTGGTATT